AAATTATATATATGGGAACTAGTTAAGATTACATAGAGACATAGAGGTATTATGGTGACTGTAATAAGAATGGTAAGTAAGAATGTGTTGTTTTGGTGTAAGGTATACTGTGGTAGATTTGGGTCTGTAATCGTGGCTAGCTAAGTTTAATATTTGAAAGATTGAAGACCAGCCTTCCCTATCCCCCTTTTGGAATTGTGCCACATATTTGCATTACGCAAAGTGAATATTACGTTCTTCGATGGGACCTAGATTTTATGAATTTACGCGCAATACTAGATTGGTGTTAATATCTCATCATTTTATAGTCGAAATGGCTAGATGTAACCGTAAGCCGTAAGTTCTAAGCTAAGAGTTTCTTCTATCGCACTTCTCGCTTGTGGAACTCTCTATCTCTCGGCTTTTTACTCTCCAGTCAAATTTGATCTTCAAAAATTTCAATGCAGTGTTCATTATTATCTTCTGTCTTATTTCCATTATTTTATTCTTCTTTCTTTTTAATGTTTCGCTTTTCCTTGTATCCTGTCACCCTCGGTAACCCCTTGCGTCTTAGTGGTTTTATTGCCTTAATTACTGTGACCCATAGTAATGTATGCTAATAGCATTGGCTATAAGATTTATAGTCAATCGCCTGTCATCCATACCATGACTATGAAGGGGAACACGATCAATGTTTTCTTCGGTGGTGACAGTTGCATCGGAAGTTCAGACATTGGGTCATCTTCAAAAAACTGTTCTTCCTGTCCTAAATTCAGCTGCATCAACCAAACTTTTGCACTGTTGATAAAGCTGGGCCGTGATATAACAAATATAGCGGTATAAATGCAATTGGGCCAAATCCTTCTTCTGCATGTATTTGGTAATACGACTATACCAAATTTGGTTTATTTTTAAGAGACGTTGCTAGTTGTTACTTTTGAAGTCTTCTTTAAAAAATCAGATATCAGTTTACCTGAAGTAAGCAATGCATTTATTAAGAAGGAGAGTTAAATGCATGTAAGTATTCATAGCTCTAGCATCACTCCTTCATAGTCAAGCCATGAATTTTTCAGCCCAACCCATAAATTGTTACTAAATATTTATACACCCGATAAGTGACACTATTTAGGACAATAAAAGAAAGAAACAATAAATCCCCTTTCTCTCTTTAGCTCCGTTGATATTTGTCAGCCTTCCTTTATTAGGGCAATGGGGAAGGTGCTGCAATCCCCGGGACAAAGCATCCTTTAGAACAACTCTCTCACGAGATATGTATTGACTATAAGATTTATAGTCAATCGTCTTTCATCCATCACCATGTAGTTAACATTATCAATGTTTTCCTCAGTGGTGGCAATTGCAAGACGTCCAGATGACGGACCATCTTCAAGATTCAGCCTTTCCCTCTTAAATACCGCTACCAATTTTTGCACTGTCGATAAAGCTGGATCATCTTCCCCTAACGTAGCAAACACGTCAGTATGGATGCCTTTGGTGGCTAAACCTTTTTTCTGCATATATTTAATAATCCCATGATGCCAAATTTTGTCTTTTCTGTCAGTTTAACGGGAAATAAACAGTGTAGTTATTAATAAGAAGCATAAAAAAACTCTTGTCTGGGAGCAAGTCTTTTAGTGATTATGACGTCATTTTTTGAACCAACAGCAAGAACCATCTTCTTTGAACTGTCAGATATCAGTTTACCTGGAAATAAACATTGTAGAAGATTTGAAATTAATGCATACAGGAACACACAGAATATACGAAAATATAAATAAAACAAATAATTTAAAAAATGCTAAAAACCTGAATTAAAATGGTTGATTTCGTTTCGTTTCGTTTCGTTTGTTGTACGGCATATCAACATCAATGGGTCATTAATGCTGACAAAATTTTTATTGCTGCTATTTTTTTTAATTTATTTCTAGCTGAACTTTCAGAGGGGAATTAACAGGAGATAACTGATAGCTGACATCCATTAGACATGGCACGTGGCACAAGAACAATCTACCCCAGTGAGCGAAATAAAGGGTTCAGTTCGACATTCCAACCACCTGAAGAAGACCGGAGCGTACAACGGCCGAAACGTTGTAATAAATATGGCAACAAAGATGTGGACAATAGACCGAATAATGTAAATAGTGTTCTGCATAATACCTCATCTCAGAAATATAGACAGATACTGAAAGGCCGAAACGTTGTAATAAATATGGCCACAAAGATGAGGACAATAGTCCGAATAATTTACCGGGAAATGTACATAATAGTTTATCTCAGAAATATAGACAGATACTGAACAGCCGATACGTGACGTAATTTTTGAACCAAAATGAACCATCTTTTTGAAGTCCGATAAAGATGAGGACAATAGTCCGAAAATAAACATAATACCTCATCTAAAAAATATAGACAGATACTGAAAAGCTGAAACGTTGAAACAAATAATTTGGCGAAAAAGATGAGGAAAATAGTTTGAATAATGTTTCGTTTGTTGTACATATCAACCTCATCTAAAAAATAT